TTGTCAACGAGAACAAGCTCTATAACTATACTTTGGACTCTCTCATCCCTTTCTTCCCTCACGGCGTCCAAAGCGAAGATGGGTACTCTCTCTCTCCCCATTTTTCTGCTATGTTCAATACCGACACCTTTTTCAGATCTGGGCTTTTCCTTTGTTTTGTTTAATTTTTAATTTTTATTTTATTTTTTGTATTTGATCCTGCAGGAAACTCAACGTCACCTCAGTTAACGATTTTTGTTTGAAATTCTTTTTACTTTTGCCAATAAATTCATAAGCTTGATGGAACTCTGCTTGTGGGAATGATGAATTTATTTGTGGAGCAACAAAGATGGGATGAACAAGCTTTCTGGGGAAGATGCTGTTGTCCAGAAATGATTGTTTTCGAGTGTTATCTTAATTAGGGCTAAAATATGTAAAATGTTTGTTTTTAGTTTGTATGGTTTTTCGAATTTTTATTTATTTTTAATATTTAATTGATAGGGCACAATCACAAACTTTGTGCTAACATGGATGGGAAAGTCGTCTGACAATCTTGTCAGAACAAGGGCACAAACTGCTATATGGTGCCCTATAACCAAAGGTGACGCCCATAGAGGGCACAAATATATTATAGTAGCCGCATTGTTGCTATTGGTCTATGGGCACGTATGTTAGTGCCCTTAAGCCTCATACGGCACAAATATATTTTTGTGCACAGTGGCTATTTTTCTTGTAGTGTATATAATGTAAAGTGGGTTGGGGATTTGTGTTTGTGTTTATTTTTAGACTTTGCTGGGAGATGAAGGTTGGGGAGGGAGAAAAAGGGTGGGGGTGGTGAGGTAGGAGATAGGTAGGTTTTGGGGTGCAGGGGTGGGGGTGGGGGTGGGGGTGGGATAGGGTGTTTGGGTTGTAGGGAAGGGGAAGGGAAATATGGTTTTTTTTTTTTATATATATAATTTTAATATATAAATTGTTTGTACCATATTTAGGGTATCTGTATTTAGACATCGTATAAATATTCGGGGACTCAAATGTAATTATGTAATAAATAAAAGGGCAAATATGTAATAAGTGAGGAGCCCTTATTCTATAAAAAAGGACTTCTCACTTTCCTCATTGGGAGAGGTCAAGGTTGAGGCCATGGGAAGAGAGAAAACATCTCAGAGAGGGCAAACACAGAAAATAGGCTAGAGAGTAAACTGCCTTTAGCCTTCTTGTATATTCACCATTCAGAGTGAAACAATATTAACATCAGTGTGGACATAGCCCAAACATTGGGGTGAACCACGATACATCTTGTGTTCTTTACTGTCTTGCAGATTTACGGTCGGATTTATGTTGTTCTAAGACCCTTCCGGTTTTGTGCATCAACATTTGGTGCCGTCTGTGGGAAACGACACGAAAAGCTATGTCGGTTTTCTTTTATTTTTCCATCATCACCATCGTGAAAACTTCACAACCTGCATCGTGAATCTGCAAAAACCAAGAACCCAAAACTTCTCCAGAAAACCGCAGACCTTAAACTCTCCAGCTCTCTCTCCCGCACCCAAAGCTGCACGCAGAGCTGCTCCAGTACCAGTCGTACCAAATTCAGAGAAGCCGAGAAAATCATTCACTATGGGAAACAGATTGGGAAGGAGGGTAGTCCACTTCGCAAAACTACCCATCAAGCTTCTGATGCCCAACAACTTCACCAGCATCATAGAAATTGCTCTCAAAACCATCTCATCGGCCTCCAAGATCGAAATCAATCACGTCATGGAGTCTCTCTACGGATTCCAGGTCGACAAGGTCCACACCCTCAACATGGAGGGCAAGAAGAAGAAGCGTGATGGTCTTCTCATCGTAAAATCCGATTACAAGAAGGCCTACGTCACCCTCAAGGCTACCATCTCTCTCTCCCAAAACCTCTACCTTATCGGAATAGTCCAACAGCACCACAACCGAAGAAGACCAAAAAACAACATAACAAGTACAAGTGTTCTGATCTCAACTTGGATCTTTCAATTGGGCTAAAGCCGTTTCAATCCGAGCCAACTCGGGCATCGTTTGGGAACTCGACCGAATCAAGACTGTAGCGGATCATAGCTCCTTTTAATAGTAATAATAATCATCAGTTTTTTGGGAAAGTGCAGTCGACGAATGCGGTGGCGGTGGCTCAGGCGGTGTGTATGTGCTGTCAGGTTGGATTTCAAAGCAGTGAGGCATGCAACAATTTTCAGTGTACCAGTTATAATGGCTTCTACAGATTTCACATACCTACTTTGAATCCATAGCAGCGGACCCACAACCTCGTCATCCCTGATGGTCCCATTGTGCCCAACGTCTTCACCTCCATCAGGTGCAATAAAGGCGAGTGCATCAGAAGATGCCCACTTTCTGAAAAAGCCACGGGAAAACAATGAAGCAGATAAAAAGAAGGAAAAAGCATACATAATTGCAGTGGTGAAATGGCGTGATTGCAGAGAATGGAATTATAGGTGTGACCCATTGAGCAGGCATTGCCCTCCGCAACTGCCAGCTGCACATGTTATCCCACTATCCAACCATCTGCCATACCCATCTTCTGCAATACCACCGAAAAAAGATTTATGAAGGTGAAGATTTCCTCCAACAGTTGGATTGCTGAGGTTGATGTGAAGGGAGAAATCTCGCTGTTGACAAGTCTCAACAGCTTTTTTGAATGATGTGATTTACTTTTCTTATCTTTTGGAGACATATGTATAATCTTATCAGAGGGTAATCATAAATAAAGAAAGAAGGCAACATGCCAAAAAAAAAGGGGCAAAATGTCGACAAGCCCAAAATAGTGGGCTGGAATATTATGTGGAGGGTGAAGGCCCATATGCCCAAAAGAGACAGGCCCTATGGCTTCAAACTCCAACCTCCATCCCTCCACTTAAGGTTCACCCTCTACTATCACCAACCAGGTGATCAAAAGTACATCCAGTACTCCAAAATTATTCGGCAGCCTGTCGCTATTATCACCAACTAGGTGATCAAAAGTACGTCTAGTAATCCAAAATTATTCAGCAGCCTGCCGTTATTTTCACTAACCAGGTGATCAAAAGTACAACCCATCCTCCAAAAAATCATACATGAGCATCACTCATTACAATCACCATCATACATGAGCATCACTTGTGTCAATCATACATAAACATTCATGAGCATCACTCATGTCAACATTCATGAGCATCACTCATGTCAACATCCATGAGCATTACTCATGTCAATCAACATAAATATTCATAAGCATCACTCATGTCAATCAACATAAATATTCATGAGCATCACTCATGTCAATCAGCTTCGAAAGCTTCATTTACAGAGCTCTAGCTTCGAAAGCTTCATCTACAGAGCTCTAGCTTCAAAAGCTTCATTTATAAAGCTCCAGCTTCGAAAGCTTCATTTACAAAGCTCCAGCTTCGAAAGCTTCATTTACAAAAGCTCTAGCTTCAAAAGCTTCATTTACAAAGCTCCGACTTCAAAGCTTCATTTACAAAAGCTCCAGCTTCAAAGCTTCACTTTCAAAGCCTTATGTATAAAACTTCATTTTCAAAGCTTCACCTACAAAGCTTCAGTGCATGGTATACATAGACCGCCTCCGAACAACCACCATTTTGGCCTATACATGGATTGAATTTGAAATATCCAGCCAACAGACTTTATTGACTGAAGACTTGGGGGACTACACTATGTACCATATATTGGGCTTTCGCAACTGGGCCTCATGAAAAATACTTGGAGGACTTAGCCCATTATTTATGTACTGAGGAACAAACTCTTATTCTATAAAAACGACTCCCTCACTTTCATTAGAGAGCACTCATTATTCATGTATTGAGGAGCGAACCCTTATTCTATAAAAGGGACTCCCTCACCATCATTAGAGAGCATCGCCGTCTGTTGAGCAACCGCCTCGCCGCAAGCATCAACTCTAGCTCATCATTTATGTATTGAGGAGCGAGCCCTTATTCTATAAAAGGGATTCCCTCACCTTCAACGCCACAAGCCGAGCCAACCAAGGCAACATAAGCCACAAGCCGAGCAGCCTCGCAACAAGTGCTACTTCTAGTTGAGCATTATTTCACATTGAGCACCGCCTCATATTGAGTATCAGTTCTAGACGACATCTAGTTACTTCGGCCCACACATGGACTGAATTTCAAGTTTCCAGCCAAAAGACTCTCTTGACTGAAGACTTGGGGGACTACTGTTTGTACCATATTTAGGGCTTCCGTATTTAGATCTCGTATAAATACTTGGGGGACTCAAATGTAATTATGTAATAAATGAAGGAACAAATATGTAATAAGTGAGGGGCCCTTATTCTATAAAATGACTCCTCACTCTCCTCATTATGAGAAGTCAAGGTTTAGGCCATGGGAAGAGAAAAAACATCTCAGAGAGGGCAAACATAGAAAATAGGCTAGAAAGTACACTGCCTCTAGCCTTCTTGTATATTCACCATTCAAAGTGAAACAATATCAACATCAGTGTGGACGTACCCCAAACATTGGGGTGAACCACGATACATCTTGTGTTCTTTACTGTCTTGTAGATTCACGGTCAGATTTATGTTGTTTCAAGACCCATCCGGTTTTGTGCATCAACATAAATAAATAGGGTAAATTATTATAATATTGTAAAAGAATTAAAAAAAAAAATTAATTTGCCACATGACACAAATTTGACAGCCAAGTCGGCACAAATGTGGCAGCCACATCAACTCTTAATGGATCAATGGATAGAAAATGTAACGGATGTATTATATTGAAATAAAATAGTTCTTGAGATATGAAATTGAAATGTTTTAAAGATGTTGTAAGAAATTGAAATCGACTCAAAACCTAAGGTGGTAAAGTATAATTTACCCAATCATTTTAATAAGTACCTGATTAGTTTAATTACACCAGCTCATCCATATTTTCTCTGGTTATGCAATAGTTTTAATATAATAAGGATAGTGATGTGCTCAAATATGTGTCGGGACTAACATTGATACGAGATCATTTGGATTCCTTGTGAAAAATGTAACCATAAATGAATTTTATAAATACTTGAAAACATATTCAAGAACAATATAGAAAATACCAAGGCCAAATAGGTTGCGAATGAGGCACAATTAAGTTGAATCACTATCTTCCTTACAGAATGGATTGAATGTTTAACATCCACAAAATAAATAAGCATATATAGTCATCACCTAAGCGGAGGCGGCAGAGAAGCACCATGTCCTTGTGGTCGATTTTCAATGGGAGATGTTGGCAAGGATTTAACAGCGGCTCTTAGGCTGTGTATGGGAACCTTTACTTCTAACACTCTGACTTTGACACCCAAAGCTACCCTTTTCTTCCAATTATCTTCAAGCGAACTCAACAATCAACATGTGAAAAATCCTCCCACCACCTTCCGCCATGCGAAAATCAAGGAGGACATGTTAGTACCCAGTAAGTTTAATCCTTTTGATATATTAAAGTGGAAATGTAAAGCCCTGTGATTTCTCTACAAAATATGTAAATGCACAGTGCAATACCAATACAGATCTAATCACAATAAGATATTATTACCAGTAGGAATTAATGTAGAAGTTGCAGGAAAAACACCCACAAGAAGATATGTTGCTACAACAGCTAAAACCAACTTTGCCCAAAAACAGCTCATACTGGAAAGCAAGAAAGAAGAACTTGCAGCAGAAGCCCTAAAATACTGAAACCCTGAAAGCATTTATGGATTCTCTACCTAAGCTATCTTGCCTTAAACCTAAATTGTAGTCATTTTTATGTTGTTCAAGTAATCATGGAGTTGGCAAGAGTTCACTTGTTCTTTGACTTCGATTTCCGACTATAGATCTGTAGTCCGTGATGACTGCAAATGCGTGAACCAAATTAACAAAAGAGTAGATTATATAGGTTGGTAATTCACAATGCTCCGCATATGCTTGACTAATATTTTTAGACATCCTCAATTTTGTAACTGCTATTAGCACAAGTTTAACTAAAGTTACGAAGTTGAATGAAAGCCAAAGGTTTCGTAATTTGAGATAGGCAGCTGGTTCTATCTTGTTGAACTCAACCGATTGCAAAACCAAAAACCAGAGATCAAAACAGCATTGTGTTAAGGGTTTGCTTAGCAAGTGGGTGAGCGGAAATTAAAGACCTTGTGATGAACAGAGCAGCAGCAGCTTGTGTTTAGACAATGTACCAATTCTTCAAACAATGAAGGAGAACATACCAATTTAGCCGCTAAATGGTGTCCACATATCGACATAACCCTCCAAGGAACGGTGCAGCATCTTCTTCCAAGCTCCAAGATCAGGCGGCATATCACCCGTAAGAGCAAGGGAGCTATCTTCCTGTCGATTCCCAAGGCTCAACACAAAAAGCTTGTCGCCAAAAACCTGATGCATAGCCTTCAAAGTTTCTTCCATAACAATTTTCCCATCTCTCAGTGAGTCCTCAGACTCCACACAGCTACCTCCTACATTGACCATTATTCTGCCGCCTTTTCTCAAACACTTTGTGAGCATCTTCCAAGTATTCGAATCCTGCAACTCAGGAACCAAACTGCCTTTACTAAACAAATCCACCAAAATCCCCGAAAACCCGTCTCTCGTGCTGGCCTTGAAAGCATCTCCAACATGAATTACAAGCCTATCCGTGTATTGCCTCTCAAGCTTTGAGAGTCCAAAGTACTCTCTGCCCACAGCAATCACAGATGGGTCAAGCTCCCACCCATGAACCACAGCTTCTGGGTACAAATCAAGAATCGACCTTGCCGCAGACCCCGCCCCGAACCCAAGAATGCCGATGGGTCCGGGAGGAATAATCGGCGGCAAGGTGGCGAAGACATCGAAGTAGGTGTTGGTGAGGGACTTGAAAATGAAAGAGATGCTGTGGATGTTTCCGGGGTTGTCGAGAAGGAGGAGTCTTGAGCCGGCAAAAGGGTGGTCGGCCCTTTTCGAGACCTCGAGGACCCGAATGTAGTTGTGCATGGACTTGAATTTGGCTAGGATTTTGACATCCTCGGCGGGGATGCCGTCGTCTTGGGTTTTGGTTTCCGGGGCGGGGTGGTGGGCGGATTGGGATTTGGGCGTCGATGGGTGGAAGTGGATTGGTTTTGGAGATGTTTTGGGAGAGAAATGGAGGTTTGGAGATCTGGGGTGGAAAGAGTTGGGGAATTTTTGAACTGGATAGGGAATTAACGGTCGAATTTGGTGGGTGTTTTGCAGGAGTGACATTGCTTTTTGCTCCGCGTGTAATCTTCCTTGCAATTCGCAGAGAGAAATGCATAGAAAAATGAAAAGGGCGCGTAAGATATTTATATGTAGGAGGCTCCCTACGTTCCGAAAGCCGTCACGATATCTTAAACTAATAATAATGCGATGTTATTCTAAAACAGATGACATTACATAATTTATTTGGGGCAAAGCCCCCAGTAGCCCTACTAAATGGTGATTCCGAAAGCCAAGATCTTTCAGAAAATATGGAACTAGTATCGACACGCCACAACGGCATACTGAAATCCACGTAAGTCATCTCCTTAAATGATACTTGTTATGATAACTTACATGAGACGAGCGTACTTCAATTATAATAGCTCGTGCCAACAATACAATTAATGGAATTCAATATCATACTTATGAATGCCGTGCAAAGAAAACTTACACAAAGCTTCGTATGATTGGTCAAGTAAATGACATAACTGGTACTACTGTAATGTTTTTAACTATTAAATCTTGGTCATTTTATCTTTCACCAAGGATTAATAGTTGGATAATACTAGGTAGACCAAATTTTTAAATTAAATTTGCAACTCAAATGATGTGTCACTAATAAAAAATAAGCACGTTAATCAACATTAAGTAATAATCCAATCATCAACAACCACATCATTTGATTTACAAAATTTAGTTTAAAATTTTGACCCCCCGCATTGCCCTTAACGGTTAAAAGTTCCAGAGTACAGAAAATCACGATTCTGAGTTAGAATAAGTAGAAGAATATTACAAAATTTAGGTTCTATTTCACATTGTAAGTAACATTCGCCTGCTGCTATCAATGCAAATTCGGTATCACACATTGTAAAAGGGAGTAAATTCGGTATTACACAATGTAAATTCGGCATCACTGGCTGCTCTAATACGTAATACCTCACTAATTAATAGGATTCCTTCTACAAATTCTGTGGCATTTACAAACCTCACTCTGCTTAAGCAACATCTCGTGTCGAGGTGATACAGGGGCATTACGACTGGAAGCTACAAAAACTCCATCCGCGTCAGCACGAAGTATGATGATGAAGATGATGTTTTTTATCTTCTTCCATCTCGTCTGCTTCATCCCTACATTAACAACCACATCTCTTGAACATTACAAGACGGGCAACAGTTAAAACGCACTTTATCCAACAATTAAATCGCATATTTATCAAGAGAAAAAATCCTAAATACGGTTTTGATGCAAATCTTGCTGAGGTCATAACCATGAGATCAGATTATTTTTTGTAATGGTTGACTAGAATCAAATTAACCTCCAAAAAGGGCAGTGTTAACTTGAAAGCGAAAAGAACATAACCTACTGTATAATATATGAAAAGAAAAATCTTACCGCATCTCAGACTTAACAGCATGCTGACGAGCAGGGGTGGAGAATTTAGTCCAATGCTTGTCATCTTCAGGATCAGAGTCATAATCCTCGCCATTCCAAATGCGAGGCTTTGGTCTTTCGTCCATTTTCTCTTCCGCCTGCATCCATTCAAACTCAGGTTATAAGAAACAAGGTGAATACATAAAATCCTGGAAAAAGTATCCAAATTAATTTGTCGCTCAAATAAACCTCCTCTGGAACTTCTGTAGTTGGTGGTGTTGTCTGGAAAGGAACACTGGGTGTATGAGGTATGCGAGTAAGTTGCTCTAGCAGTGCATTCCTGGGAGAAAAAAAAAAGTAAACAATAAACAAAACTTGTATGATGAGACAGGGACGACAGAATTCGCTGCTAGTTAAATATACAATCCAGCATTCTCAATAAATGCTTGTAGTTGAACTTTCCATTTCACCCGGCAAAATTTGCAAGGCAAATTGCACAAATGTTGAAACGCGTTAAATCATACGATCTGCGATACCAATTGCAAACAATAAACAGCATGCTGAACTCAAAATTCCAATATCTGACGGGTCAACATAATTATGTGACGTCCTAAATACTTCTGGAAAGAGAAGCTAAGCTTGTGGAGCTCAAAATGCCAACATAGTTTCAAATAGAAGCAAATTAAGGATGAGCTATTTCCTTTTTACAATATGTTATGAGATCTCTGTTCAATAATTTAAGCATGGTTGGGGACTAGTATGATGCAGCTGAAATTATTGGTGTCAGCAATGACGAATTAAAATTTCTAGCTTAAAAGTAAACTGCAGTACAATGCAATCCACTAGCACAGACTGTCACAAGTAATGAAGCAACAAACACACCTTATTTTCTCCAGATCTTTGGGTGTGTTTAGATTCTCCATGTTGGACGGGGCAATATGAAGAGTGTAATCTGGCCCAAAATACTCATAGTATTCATTGTAAGGCAACTTATTATCAGGCTCCACATCGACCGCCACTGCTGTCTGTTACAAAGTAATGGATGCAATCATAAGGACATTACATCACATGATAGTTGTTCAATTAAAAGAAACAGGAAACACAAATATAAGATGTTACAGTGATTGCTAAAATAGAGAGCAAGGCATTAGAGATAAACCTCATAACACCAGCAACGAGCCACATTACGGATTGTATAACCTCCACCACCCAAGACCATCAGAGGAACGTTAAAAGATCTCAGGAAACGAAGACAATCCGCATGGCCTTTGACAGACAAGTTGAAGCACCCCAACCTATCACCAGACAAAGAATCTGCTCCACACTGAAGAACAACTGCGTCTGGCTGATACATCTCCATGACTTTCTGGATGATGGGCCGAAATAGACTACGGAAACTCTCATCATCCATCCCATCATTTAGCGGGACATTCAGAGCATAGTTCTTCCCAGTCCCAATCCCAACATCTTTAACGTGCCCGGTGCCAGGAAAGAAATCCCCGAACTTATGGAAAGACACAGTCATGACCCTGTCAGTGGTGTAAAATGCCTCCTCGACTCCATCTCCATGGTGCACATCAATGTCTACATAAAGCACACGCTGCGCAGTGACAATCACATAAGTAATTCATTAAGCAATCGAAAACAATGACTACAAACACGATATAACAAATGAACCGAACAAACATTTGGCCTAGACCAGACGTACAACCCGAATAAAAGGTGGATACTCTCACGAGTAGATTTTACTCGGTTGGAAATTTTATTGGATTCAACTTTACGAAACTCGGAATTACTTGCTCCCGGTTAAGTACAAGAAAGCATAAAATTCATATAGTTTGGTAACTAAAAATTGGTCAATGCAAGTAAAATATGCAGCAAAGAAGCATCAAGAACCCTAAATTTGTAGGTAAGCTAATCGAGTTCCGAATAAAATCATTAGTTCAATTCAAAAATTAATAATATAATTACAAAAAGAAATAAAGACGTCGTTTTGTTATTACCCTGTGAACCTTGAGGAGCTCAAGAATGCCGAGCACGATATCATTGACATAGCAGAATCCAGAAGCCTCGGCCTTCTTGGCGTGGTGAAGCCCACCGGCCCAGTTGATAGCGATGTCCGCGTCCTGGCGGTTGAGCTTGACGGCGGCGCCGATTGAGCCGCCGGCGGAGGCCTGGCAGAAACCGAAGAGGCCGTCAAATACGGGGCAGTCCTCGCCGACGTTGAAGCGCTTGAGGTGGCGGGAGTGGACGGAATCGGCGAGGGTCTCGGGGGTGACGGAGGCTAGGAAGTCGACGTAGTCGTCGGCGTGGAAGCGGCGGATGTCGATGGGCCCGGCGGGGAAGGGGCGGTTGATCTCCATCCGACGGTGGAGGCCGTAGTGGACGACTAAGTTGTGGGCCATGCGGATTCGGTGGGGCTTCATCGGGTGGCCTTGGCCATAGTAGTAATCGCCGACGGTCGGCTCGTAGAAGTAGCTCACTCGCCGTTTCTTCGCGTCTGGGCCTGACGGCAGTGACGCTCCGCCTTCTGAGTTCATCTCTCTCTCCTTCTCTCTTCCCTCCTCTCTCTCTCTCTCTCTCTCTCTCTCTCTCTCTCGACTCGAATGGTGGTGTGTGTGTTTTGGGGGGGGGGATTGTAAGTGAGCGACGTATACGACGAGTCGTTTTGTTCAGAAAAGTAAGCGATGAAGAAGAAGAAGCGGGTCGTGGGTAGCAAAAAGCCCAATGGGCCTCAACTTGTTTCGCTTGCATTTGTAAATGCCCCTAATGTGGCCGGTGTTGGCCCAATATTCTTTTGGTGAAAAGCCCAATCTTGTTTTTGATACCGAATAATGCATATTGCACAGGCAAAAGGATGTACGCCGTGATTGGAATTGGTTCTGCAAGTCCAAATATTGGTTCTACTTGTGTTTGGCAAAGGTATAAGTTAGAAGTGCTTGTGTGATATAAGTGTTTTTTAGAGTAGTACATGTTAGATACTTCTTTGAAAAGCATTTTCACGTACTTTTTATCAAGAAATTGAATTTCTAATAAAAAACTTCAATGTGAAACGAGTTAATTTTCTAAAGGGATTCATAAAAAAAGAGTGCTTCTTAGAGAAGCAATTGGAAACGAGTTAATTTTCTAAAGGGATTTATAGTGCGGTTGGTTAAGAATAGTCATCCTTACGATCTCGAAATCGATTAGTTCTCTTTCAATATCGCTTGTATACAATTTTAAGGTGTATGTATCCATTATTTGAAGATTAGCCATCAGCTACTAGGGTCAGTTAGTTCAGTTGCAAAGGTAGGTATGTAGGGAGGAAGTTCGTCCTTTATAACAAAAAAAAATAAAATATTATGAATGAGAAATCAAATATCTTTTTTTTTTCTTTCGGCAACAAAAATTTTAAAAGGAGATTGGTTACTTTCACCACCAACGCCAGGAGCATCCCACAACTTCAAGCGAGAAGGACTTACGCATGTCACGTAACTGTCATTTGTCACCGGTGTGGATTTACATAAGAATTTATAGATCGTGCACTAACGAAAAACTGCTGGCAAAGGGGATCAAACATAGAATGAAGGTTAATCACAAGCCCGCCCTTACCAGCTGAACCAACCCTCGTTGGCAATCAGAAATCAAATATCATATATTGTCATTGTACATAATTTACAAATGAGGACATGCATGTGATATACCATATGGAATGGTTTTTAAAAATGTTAACCGAACTCAGCTCAAAAGCGAGTCTAACAGACAAAGTTGTGTTGGCTCACTTTTGAGTGTGTTCTGCTGGTATTTTTCTTGGGTTGAATA